CCAGCTGGCTGGGGAATTCTGGGAATTGAAGTCCACCCATCTTCAAGCTGCCAAGGTTGAGAAACACTGATCTACCCCATCATGCTGTTCTCATCACGATGCCCACAAGCTGCATAAGGATCAACTGCATTTTTCTGAATATGTTTCTCAACACTACTGAAAAATTTACTTCCTTCAGTATGCCTTAGCAGGAGGCAATACTTGCCTGGGTGTGGAAGCTCAGCTGGGTCAGATCTCTTTAGCATTTGGATGGGACACCACTAGGAAATCCCAGGGTTGCAAAGTTAGTTTGGAAAGTTGAAAAAAAAAATACACCCTGAAAGAAGGCCGTGGAAAACCACATCCGTATTGGGGCTAAGAAAACAGCACCGTGAGTCACCAAGGGTTGCGTCTGACTCGCTCGCTTTCTTCAATAGTACTCTCATACTCTTAGTGCAATCTACCCAGCAGGAGTTAAGATGCTGGACTAGGAGAAAAAGTTCTTTGGGGGACTTTAGGCCAGATACACACTGTGGTTCAGTGCAGCCTACTCCACAGGGTTGTTATGAGGATAAAATTGGAGAGGGGGGCCAAATAACCAGTAGAGGGCGCCCAAGAGATACAGAAAACGCAGCTCTTTGTCGCCACCTAGTGTTCAGTTCAGAATTGTGGCAGCCCTGATCTAGCAGCCCGCAGAAAAAGGTGAAGAGAGAAATTTGAAAGCAATTCCGAGTTACAATATCCATGGACTCTCTTCCTGAAATCCTTTTTTTCAGGTGGAAGGAAGCACAGGAGAAAGAAAGAGAAAGAGAGAGGTCTACTGCTAATATACCTCTTTATTCTTCCATGGGGCATCTCTCATTTCCGCCCGGCAGGCGGAAAAAGCATCTCTTAAAACAAGCTCCTAGCACCGGAAGTCAGACAAGTGGTTCAGTCAACTCTACATTTTTGAATCTATGGTGGAGTGAAACTTCGGGAGGAAAGGGGCGTGGCCTTGCCCTAGAAGGACGATCGCCGTATGACGACGCTCCTGCCGTTTTCTCCATCGTGCTTAGAAAGCTTTACTGCCCCCTGTCGCTTGTTTCGTTTTTTACATCTCTGGAGTCTCACTGTGCTACATAATTGTCTTTCTCAACGGGGGTACTGAAATTACTCTTAACCCCAACGACCAGAAGGCCCTCAGCTAAGGATGATGGGCGCTGTAGTCCAAGAGGTCAGGAGGCCGCCAGGTTGGATGAAGCAGTGACACGGCCCTTATCCTCAACTTTCTCTTCTTAAACACGTGCAGAAGAAAGGAACCTGGGTCTAGCTGCCCTGGTACGTCTGAATTCACTAACCTCCTACATTCCTGCAGAAATAATCAGAAAAGGGAACGCTGCCTAATTGTATTAGGCTGGCTTTAAGAAAGACATGATGTGTAAGGAAACAAAGATCGGGAAGGAATCATTGAGAAAATAAAATTGCAAGCAACACGGATGTGGCTTTGCCCACCAGGACGTCTGGATCTGGGGCAAACTCACTTTCCTGCCTACAAGCTACTTTTCTTTTCTTCATAAACATTTGGGGGGGGGGCG